TGACGGTTCGTCCTACTTGTCGTAGAGGGCAATAAGGAGAGTAGCAGGAGAATTACACAAGTGTGGGACGACAGAGTCTGTCACGGTCCGTCGCATGATCCGTCGACCCTGTCAGTTTTTATCAAAAAAATTCTTCTGCTCTAAACGACTAAACAGGTCGTTACAGTTTTAGTATATGTAGATGATATTCTAGTATTTAGTAAAAATATAAAAGAACACTTAGGGCATTTACAAACAGTTTTTAGATTATTTGTTAATAATGGGATAATAATTAGCAAGAAGAAAATAGAATTATGTAAAAATTATATAAACTTTTTAGGAATTACTTTAAGAGAAGGAAAGGTCAAAACTACAACCTCATATAACTAAAAAAAGCTCTAGACATTCCAGATAAATTAAATAATTAAAAGATTTACAAAAATTCTTAGGTATAATTAATTATTCAAGACCTTTTCTTAAAGATTTAGGAAAAATGGCAGGACCATTATACTCTAAGACAGGAACTAAAGGACAAAGAAATATCAATATTGAAGACATAAAATTAGTACAAAAGATAAAAGAAAAAATAAAAAATATTTCCGATCTTAATATGCCATTAGAATCAGACTATTTAATAATAGAAACAGATGGATGTTTTGAAGAATGGGGTGCAGTATTAAAATCAAGACCACATAAATATAGTTCTAAACAGGAAGAAAAAATATGTTCTTATCAAAGTGGAAAATTCAAAGAAAAGGATAATAAAGCTAGTATAGATGTTGAAATTTTAGTTATAATATATGGTTTAAATAGTTTTAGAATTTATATTCTAAATAAACCAGAAGTATTAATAAGAACAGATTGTGAAGCTATAGTAAAATTTCATCAAAAAATTAATGATAAAACTTGTAGTAGAAGAAGATGGCTAAATTTTTTAGATACTATATCAATTTATCATTCTATAATTATTGAACACATCAAGGGAAATGATAATAGTATTGCGGATCAGCTAAGTACATTACTGATCAAAGTGTAAATTTTACAAAATGAGACCTCTACTATCAGACAAAGGTAAAAGAGTTCAACCTTCAACCGCAGGTTTGGCAGACTCTTATAAACAGACAATAATAGCAAATTTGCATTTTAAACCTCTAGACAAAATAGATGATGTTAGAATAGAAAGACTACAGTTTGGACAACAAAATTTAATAGCATACGAGCCGTCTAACTGGACATTCAGACATTTATCTAAATGTCAATTAGACAAACAGCAAACGTGCCTCATAGACAATATATGGATAGCTCATAACAAAAAAGACACTAAATATGTAATTGCAGTTTTAAATGCTTTAGGATATTATTTTACTAGTAAAAATAAAGAAAATAGATTTAAATATCATGTATTAATTCATGGTAAAACAAATGGTGTTTTTCAAACATGGATAGAAGTTTTAGATTCTATTAAAGATTTTCAAAAACCTCTTTTTAAAGGTTTTAATGATTTTACAGAAGCTTTAGACTATGCTAGAGGAATATTAGGGCCAAATTACCATATTTCTCCAGCCCTTAGACAAAACTCAAATAAAACCCCACAATACAACATCCAGAAAGATACAGACAAAATTCTGTGATCATTGCTCATCAATGATCGAAGCATTCAAAAGGCTAAATTTGATAAATGAAGCCCTAATGCAAGAAAATGACAAGCTCAGAGAAAGACTCCAAAAAATGGAAAGCAAAGGTAATACTAAACAAGATGTGCAAACTCAGACAGATATACAGGGTTTTCCATCCCAAATAAAAATCCATGAGATGGGTGTGCATTTCCCACTGAATGCTAAGAAATCCACTGTATCGGATGAAGATACAGCTAGTCCGGTTCAAATAGTAGCAGATAAAGACTTCTCAAACCCGTTGACGGCTGTCACTTTGCCAAAAAGTGAAAAAGATAAAGGTTCATTTTCTAGAAGAAGGTTACCGCTTTCATTTAACCAGACTATTAGACAAAAAATTAAAAAATCCCAAAAAAATAAAGATCTAGAATCCCTTATAACCCAAACCATAGAAAAATTACTTAAACAAAAACAAGAGAAAGAGAAACATACCAAGCCCAATACAAAGCCCAAGAAAAATTCTGTTTCAAGCCCAAATAACTCAGATAATATTTCAGACTCAATGCAATTTGCTCAAGACCCAAATGATGAAAAACTGTACCACACATGTGGAAAAATTGTTGGGACGCGTCTTTACCTTAAAAATAAAAATAATTTATAGGTAAGAGATAAGAGATAAGTATTTACAGACAGATATCAGACTACAAGGACAATAATGCAAGAAAAGGAACATTATATCACGTGACGATGGGGCCCAGATGTGTACCCGGCTGAGATGATAAGATTCCTTTTTCATTTAAAATTCGAAGTTTGAAGTCCGAAGACCTCTATAAAAGCAAGTATCATCAAGACAAGAAAAGGCAGAAGGCGAAAAAGGCTAAGACAACCACAACAAAAACTCTCTCAAAATCCTCAAAAGAACCCCTTTTCTCTTTAAAATTATCTTCTAAAAGATTGTAGTAAAGATTTCAGTTCTTTATTCTAAAAGTTTGTTTTAAAAGTTTGGAAGCTTTCCAGGTTTCCCGAAAGGGAAACTTCACTCTGTTCTAAATAATGTAAGTCTTCATATTTAAGTTTCTAGTAAACATCCCATATATGTAAATTATGTGTGTTTATAAAATGTTAATTATTTGATAAACTCATGTAAATTTATAAATTTATAAATTTATGAATATCATCATGAATCTATATTACTTAGTATATGGTTAGTCTCTAAGCTTCTTAAAAGTATCGATGGATTAACCTGTAAACTCCTAGGACATTGTGAGGTTAAATGTTCTGAGAAAAGAACTATGAATAACCAAATCCGGGGTGTGGTTAAACAAGATTACTTTTAAGAACAAAGGCTAAGAGAAAAAGATGAACAGTAATAATAGATTCATGAATGGACAGAGTCCATAAAAAAA